GTGGACAACGTTGGGGTGGGGGCGGGATATGAGTCAGATTGCATAGAAAATTAAAAATTTCAAAGTTATTTTACATTTTATGTTGAGGTTGGGAAGAAATGAAAAGAAATCAAAACAAATGAAGGATTTTAATTGGTCGCATTTCTAAGAAACTTTCTCATCTTGATTGTAAAGTGAAGATAAAGTATTGATTGTATAGAGCTGAACGAAAATTTGACAGAAACTATCGTCTGTAACGATAGCAAGACATCTAATATCGTCTGTAATGGTAGCAAGACTTCTAATATGGTTTATAAGGATGGAAAGACATCTAATATGGTCTGTAAGGATAGCAAGACTTCTAATATGGTCTGCAATGATAGCAAGACTTCTAATATCGCCTGTAAGGATAGCAAGACTTCTAATATCGTCTGTAAGGATAGCAAGACATCTAATATCGTCTGTAAGGATAGCAAGACATCTAATATCGTCCGTAAGGATGGAAAGACTTCTAATATCGTCTGTAAGGATAGCAAGACATCTAATATCGTCTGTAAGGATGGAAAGACTTCTAATATCGTCTGTAAGGATGTCAAGACTTCTAATATCGTCTGTAAGGATGGCAAGACTTCTAATATCGTCTGTAAGGATGGCAAGACATCTAATATCGTCTGTTCGTCACATATTTGAGTTTAAAATGCTTTAAAAGAAACAAAAATGATCTCATAAAGGCGATATTGTTATTGTCAGTCAGTGAGTGAGAATAAATTCTAAGCTTACAGGAACTGTCACCTACAGGTTGAAGTAAGAGAGAGGTAACGGGAGGCAACACTATGTTGACATTGTGACTGAAAAAGATTTTATTTTTAGCATTGATGTGTCTATTATTTATCTTAGTTGCCCTTGATACAAGTAGACTGAAAGACTTGATACAAGTAGACTGGATTACTTGTCAAAAGTAGATGAATGAATTGATACGAGTAAATTGAATAACTTGATACAAGTAGATTGAATGACTTGACACAAGTAGAATGAATTACACGATACACGTAGACTGAATTACTTGGCACAAGTAGAATGAATTACTTGATACAACGAAACCAAATTGCTTTATACCACGTGACTGATTTATTTGATCCTAAGTGACCGAATTATTTGATACAATACTCGCAGACTGACCTTCTAGTCTGGTCTAGATCTATATTGCTGATATCTGACCATCTAGTCTCTTTAAAGAACTCTTTGGCTCATATCTGTCCTTATAGTCTGGTCTAGATCTCTATGGTTCACATCTGTCCTTATAGTCTGGTCTAGATATCTTTGGGTCATATATGTCCTTATAGTCTGGTCTAGATCTCTATGGTTCATATCTGTCTTTATAGTCTGTTCTAGATCTCTATAATTCATATATGTCCTTATAGTCTGGTCTAGATCTCTATGGGTCATATCTGTCCTTATAGTCTGGTCTAGATCTCTTTGGCTCACATCTGTCCTTATAGTCTGGTCTAGATCTCTATGGTTCACACCTGTCCTTATAGTCTGTGTCACAAATGACTGGGGCGGGGGTACAGGACAGAGCTCCATTGTTGTTTAGGTAACTTATAGGATGGAAGGAAACTGCTGTTAATGGGGTTAAGTTAAGGTTAATAGGCTCTCACATCTTGATATAGTGGGGGATTGTTTCTTTGGATAATAGTATGTTCGGGTTTTCCAGACTTCGCATGATAATTTCTGGGTTAACAATGGGAAGGTCTAATTGACCGGAAATTAGAGGGCATGGGTGTGTTTATAGATAGCATTCCTGGACCACCTATGGGGGGTAGAGAACCACATATAAGAG